GAGAAGAGTAAGGGGCTCAGGGTGGGTTAAGCTCACAGCTTGACGAGCGTGGGCTCTTCTCCAGGTGGACCATGTAGATTTTGAACTCCTGTCAGGATGGGTACCATTCAGCCCAGACCTCTCATTTCCTGACTCTGTGTTAAAGGAAGATCCACCAAGAAAAAGGTGACCAGCTTTCCACTGGGTCAAGAGCCTGATTTGATGTGAAGAACACCACAGCCATGCGTTTGCTAAATCCCACCTGAGGAAGGGAGCAGGAGCACAGCTGGCGGCAGCATGGGGGACCAGGACCTCTGACCAGCTGCAGCGCCATCATATTGAGTAAAACACAAAACCGCAGCTGAAATGCCTGTGCAACATCTGAGAAACGCAGAAATTTCAGCAACTCTGGCACTTGGCCCCAAAGATGGCCCTGAAGATGATCCAGAGGATGACAAGGGCTGCTAGAATTCTTGCTGTGGCGTGGATGGACCCAGATTTTTCCAGGGTTGGATATGAGACCAAATTGGTATGAACTGGCTAGCAGAGGCTGGCAGATGAGTATTTGCGGTTTGCTTGTTTTCCCGGGAACCAGGAGAGGCCAGCTGGCAGCTGAACAGCTCCTCCGCGTGGCTGCTGCCTGGCCAGCATGGGTGGGCAGCGGGGGATTTCAGTGTGAAACACGCAGCTGAATATGGATAAAACTCCATAGGTACTGCCTAAAGATGGGACCCATCCGACAGCAAAGCTTTTGAACTGTCAATGGGTTCATGCTGCGCAGGCTGGAGAGGACAAACGGCAACCAGCCAGTTGTTCCTTCAGTATTTATTTATTGATCGTATACTTTATTTTTCAGAAAACCAGCTCTTCCCTTTCCCCCCTTATGCAAAATACAGTCTGGCAGCCCTTCCTTCACCCTCTTTAATAGATCTGTCACTTAAAAACATCTGACAGCGCTGCAATATTGTTGTGATTTTTTTTTTTTCAGGCAAGGCTGCTGGGAGAGGATGGTGAGAGAAACCGGCAGATCCAAAATCAAAAACCTGACACAAAACCCTGCCTCAGTAGCAGCCTCCAAATTGCTGTTGTGGGAGATTCTTAATAAAGCAGTTAAATAAAGTTGTCTTCATGCCAGCTGAGACTTCCAGTAATAATAGACAGAGCTGATAATGGGCTAAGTACATGCTAAAGACATGTAATCCCGTTGGTGAGGTACAACATAGTCCCAGGACGCAGTTATTATTTCACACATTTATTTATATAATAACATTTAATAGATAGATTATTTATATATATATAATTTACGTATTAACCCGTGGAGTTGGCCTGTGTTCATATCGATGCTCTTTTTTTTTTAGTGCTGACCTTGTCCCCAGAGAAATGTTAAAAATATTGCTGAACCCTCCTCTATCTTTACCTAAAGCCCTCCTTAAACTATTTTTTTAAAAACCTAAAAATCCCGCATGCTAACAATGATTAGGCAAGTAATGAACTGTCGTAGTCCAGATTTCCTTGGCTTTTCTTATTCCTTGGGTCTTGATTCTCACCTGTTTCCTATTTAATCTAAGAGAAATGATACAAACAGCATCTAATTAACAAAGTCTGTCACATTACTGTTGTGTTAATTGCCTGTTAAGATAAATTGCAGCTCTGCCCCTTCCTTTGGGGTTTTGAGGAGTTCAGTTCCTGCTGTGGTGTAGTCCCTTCCCTTGCAGGGATCCTCATTTGGGAGCACTTCTTCATTCATTTGGGAACTCCCTGGTCCTGGGGTTGTTACAGAGGTCACAAAACCCTCAAGTGGGGGTAAAATAGGCAAAAATAGATGCTGAAGTACCTCACAGTGAAGGATTTTAAACTCAAGCCTCTCCACAGCGCTGTCAGCTTTATATTAAAAGAGCAGTAGCGTGCTGTTTATAACTGAATTTACATGGGGTCTGATCGCAAGGTGTGCAAACAACTTTGGGTGCTCTGCTTTCTCTGACTGGTATAAAATTGAGCATCTTTGCTCCTGAATAACTTCTGAAACTGGAATTTGCTTGGGTTTTGTTTTGCTTTCTTTTTAAAAGAGCCCTGAAGTCTGCCTTAGTGACTGCAGGCCCGGGAACATGCTCGTCCTTCAGCCCCGCACCCAGGATGGGAAATGGAGCCAAAACTGACCGTACTTGACCATGCACCAGCTTCATGGCATCAACTTGCAAAGTCAAGCACGACAAGAAGTTGTAACCCCCTTTTTACCTTCCATTGTGCCTGCAGGACCAGATTGCAAAGCAGTAAGTTCAGGAGGAAAGCTTAAGTATAAAGCCACCAGAAAACGCGCTGATGTTCAAATCAGTTTTCACCAATAACAGAAGAAATGAAAAGCCACACCGAGGTGCAGCTCCCTTACGATCCCTTCTTTATATTTTGTAGAGTTGGGTTGTTGAGTTTTGTATTCGGTTGCCTCATTTACTGGGTCAAGTAGCATGTTAGCCCCTCACTGCTGCTTCTTTTGCAGAACTGCGGCAGCATATTTTAACTAATCTTCATAGCTGTGACTCATTTTGATCAGAAACGGCTGAGCCAGTAAAATAAAAAAGAATCCATTTGGTGGTGGTGGTGGGTTGGTGCATTTTATTGTGGTTTGTAGTACAAGTGGTACTTGAGTTCTTTGAATAAATACTCTTAGTGATGGTGCACGCTTGCATTTTATGGCGAGTCATGCAGTAGTGGCAACTACAAGATTACCACTGGTTTTTTGATGACTTGCTGGCTCAATTAATCCATGTCCTAACGGCGGGAAGTTTACAAAGCTTAGACTGTTGGGTACTGGAACTGAGAGGAATTCATCTCCTCTGTCCTCAACCACCAAGGTGGGTGTCTCGATCCTGCAAATGAATGCAGCTAACGACCCCCTGTGGGGGGAGAGCAGCACTCCCACAGCAGGTAGGTGCTGCTGGGAAAAGGTTATAACTGTAATTAATTAATCACGCTGTCACAGCATCCTTGGGGTGTACATGTAGGTCTCCTGGCTTTAAACCCGGCTCTGGGGATGAGTAACCTTGACCTGCTTGTGTGCCTCCTGTCACCTCAAGCCCCTCAGCTGCCCACAACCCCCCTACCCCTATTACCGGGTTCCTGTCACCCATCACCCCGCTTCATCCCCCAGCCCTGTCACCTTCGTCACAAGCGGGGGTCCTGTGCCAGGGCCTCTTGCCCGTTGCCTAGCAATGCCACCATGCACCGCGGCCTAGCCTGCCACGCTGGGACAGGCCTGCGGCCTGCTGAGGGGAGGCAGGAGGGCCGGCATCCATTGCGAGCTGCCTGGAAGAAGCTGCCCTCTCCCCCTGAGGAAAGCCAGCAGCCTGTGTTTCACAACCCTCCTTGTGAAAATTGCAAAAAAAAATATAGCTATGTCAACCCCCTCCCCCAAAGCAGAACATTTCTTGCTATTTTAAGTGAGTTGGATCAGCCCAAGGCCTGGTGTGATGGAGCAGCACGGGATGTGGCTGGAAGAGGTGGGGGGAGAAGGGGGTAAGACCCCTTTTGCACGGTGGTGGGCTGCTAGCTTGGTGCTCGTGCCCATCAAATGGCAGCCTGAGCTGAGCAAATTGCCTCAAGCATGGCTGGAAGTAGTTTTCTTGGAGCAATGGCACTGATGAGTGGGTTTTGGTGGTGCTGGTGCTCTTCCTCCGTCCCCCCAAATTGGAAATGAGCCTTAAAAACATCAGGATTTTAGTATCCTCTGTGCAACCTGCTCTAGGTGAACCTGCTTTAGCAGGAGGGTTGGACTAGATGATCTTCTGAGGTCCCTTCCAACCCTTGGCCATTCTGGGATTCTGTGACCTTTCTTGCTTGAAGAGGTTGGGTTTTTTTAATGTGTCATATTCAAATATTTGTTTTGAAATTGCTGGGTAGTGTTAAGAAGATAATGAGAATATCTATGAAAAACTCTCAGCTAAGCATGCTTTGAGGGCAATGTAATGGTGGTTCTCCATCATTGCCTGGAGTGACCAGTAGCCCCTTCATCGTGTTAGTTTTGATTATGAGCTCTCTCTAGAAGCTACAAAGTTCAATTATTGCATTTGTTAAGAGTGGGGCTTTTTTCCTCCATCCTTTTCCATGTTTCCTTTTGACTCCCTTTTCTGTAGCCACTTGTACGAGAAATAGCCTAAAACATTCCGTATGTCAGGGATTGTCTTTACCATGGGGGTTTTTTCTGCTGCAAGAATGGTGTTCTCTGTTGTCAATAAAACTTTGTCTCCTTGGCTTTGGAGGCTAGCTGCTGTGGCAAAGGCAGGCAGGCTTTTGGCTTTTGTTTTGTTTTCAGTCTTGAATTGATGTTTTTAGTAGGCCACAGGCTAATCCACGTCTCAGCGTGATGCATTAACATGAAAAAATCGGCTACAGGCCTTAACTGTGCGTTCTTGTTCTGCTTTAGCTGAATTTTGTCTCTGCTTAGCTGACTGCCACCTATGTGTTTACCAAGCATCCTTTCACCATGGACAATTATTTTCTTTCCTGTCTTGTCAAGAGGATTGTGAATTATTTATTTATTATATCTGCATCTTAAACCAGTAACTAACTGTATGGAATGGTGTGTCTGTAGGCATGCAGGTTGTGTGGGAGGCTATACAATATTTATTTACATTTTATTGCTTTTATTTGAATATTTAAGGAAGATGTTTGCCATATTTCGCTTGCTGTTCTGTGTAACAAACTCAGTATACGTGCAGACCAGGTTGTTCCAAGGTTTAAATGTAAGTATTACATTATGTAAAACCTTGTGCTTTGCTGACTCATCATGACCCATGACCATAAACATATATTAATCAAGAAATGTGCATGCACAAGGGAATGGGAAGGTAATGCTTTAAGTCATTTGCACCATGGTTTATTTTTTGTCAAGTTACCATGGAATGGAAAATAAAATGCAAAGCCCATTGAAGTTTTAAAATAAAACATTGTGTTGTTTCAGAGTTTACAGGTTCATTCTTGCCTCTTGATATGTTTTCCTCTTCTGTTTGAAGGAATTGGAGAGTGTTATGGCATCTGCAGAAGAAGAATTAATTAATTTTAATGTCGGTGGCTGGTATTTCTCTATTCCCAAAAGTAAAGTCGCTCAGTTTCCTGAATCCCTGTTGTGGAAAGAAGCTTCTGTACAAGATCAGTCTGAAAATCTAAGATTATTTATTGACCAAGATGGTTTTATATTTAGGCATCTTCATTATTACATGCAGACTTCAAAATTATCTTTTTTCAGCTGTGCTGAATTGAACTTGCTGTATGAGCAAGCATTAATCTTGCAGCTGACGCCTTTATTACAGGTAAAGTGGGATATTCTGTGTGGCTTTCCTACAATTTTTTCATTCTTAGATAATATTGTCTGTAGGAGGATGTCAAGGGGTTTGTGTACATCACTTTATCAATGCTTGCCATAGTTAGCCAAACAAATAATTGCCACATACAGCTCATTGGCCTTGGATGGTGAATACAGAACATGTTATGAATTTGATGCTTGACCTTTCTGTAAGAGCTTGTTCAGCAGTCATTACTTGCTTTTTTTTTTTTTTTACTGAATTCAAAGCAAGCAGAGACTTTTATCTGCCAACTGTTGTGCTTTGTGACAATTACATGGATTGCTCTTGCTGAATAAGGATCTTTGAATGTGAAGGAGATGAGTCTACCCAAACCCAGCTTCATCCGAGTGGGACAGCACTGAGTTCACTATCCCATCAAACGGGGAAATGACGATTCTTCCTCTCCTATTCTGTAGCTGCATAAACAAATGCTAAATGGAGGTCTGCAAAGAGTCGAGTCCCCATCCCTGGGAGTATTTAAAAGCCAGGCAGAGGAGGTACTTAGGGCCAGGGTTTAGTGGTGGGATGGCAGGGTTAGGGGAATGGTTGGGTTTGATGATCTTAAAGGTCTTTTCCAACCTAAATGATCCTACGATTCTATGAATATTTAATTTACTATTTAGCTACAAGGTTTTCTTTTTTATTGTAATTGCACTGTAGTTTTGCACTGTGCCAGTGAAGGCTGAGTCCATACTTCCTGCCTGGATGAAACATGTATTTTTGTACATTTGCATTCCCTCTAAGTTTAGTCTAAACTCTGTGTTTCTTCTGGTTTTTAATACCTTTTTTTGTGGAATTATCTCAGAGATGCTATTATGCTTGATATTTTTAGCCCAAAATATTAACATTTTGGGCTTAACGTGAACACTTTTGGATTTTCTTTTAGGACCCTGTTTAAAGATGTAACCTCTCCAAACAGGTTGGGAGAGGAAGACCACTAAACCTCAGTAGTCTATGGTATTAACAAACCGTATATGATCTCATGTTTAACACGGACCTGTTGTGGTGTGGCCAGGAACACATTCCACTGAACTAGAATTCTTGTGTTTTCTGGCTTCTAAGTGCTTGTTAGTGTGACCTTATTAATTTATTAAGCTATTTTATGCATCTGCTTTGGAAGTCATAACTGTGGCTTTAAACTTACTTCATACTTAATATCCTACAACAGTACATGACCATTTGTTGCAATTTTAAAATAATTTGAAAATAATAATAAAAATAATAGCAATTCAGTAAAAGGTTAGGAAATATAGACTGTTAAACATTCCTATCACCAAGCCAAACATCGATTCCCTTTTCTAATCATTGAATTCCCAGAGCTTATTGTAAAAATGTTATTAAAAAAGAGCCCAAAAGGTCCTTCAGCCTTTGTGCTGGGTTCTTGGCTATTTGTTGTATACTTTTACGCATGCCAGTGTGGCTGTCTTCAATTCCAGAGCTGGAATATGAGGAATTGCCGTGAAAATTCTAATGCTGAAAAATAGTTGGCTTTTTTGGAATATCTGAATGGCTCTAATTATATTACAAGTTCTTATAAATGTTCTCTGCAAGTTCATTCCATTTACCTTTAGGCACCTACAGCGTAGGAATGGATTTGTTCTTGCCTGTAGATGATACTCCATGGCATGTTTCAGTAGATGTGCAGGACAGCATGGCATGCGTTAGACTCTTCCATGGCTGCTTTTTATTTTTGGATTAATTATTTGAAGTAGTAAATAGAAAAAACTTTATGTATCTTGACAGATTTTAGATAATTTAAAGGAGGAGAAATATAATTTACATACCCAGCCTGCAGACACACCAGTACTGAATTACTGCACCAGCAAGCCACCAGAGATTCCTCCTAACAGCCCAGCGTTCACAGGTGGGTGTCCCAAATTGGCAAATTCTTTTGCAGCCTTAGGAATGCCCATTTTTTGTGATTTTTTTTTTTATTAGTCATCTTTTTTTAAAAAATAGGAAACCCCATGCAAGCGTTTATTCATTTGTGCTAGGCTGTAAGACATCATCCTTTGGTGAACGTTAAATGTTGCACAAGATTAATACACTTTTATTGGCTTTGCTGGCCTAGGCAGATCTCCAAAGTGAATATCAGAGTTCTATTTTTCTCTACTTATGTCTTGATTTTTCTGATTTTTCTCTGCCTAGGGTTACATCAAAGAGCTCCTCTAGGGCTAGTGGATACACCTTTACTAGAGACGGGAGGTGAAGTGAATTACTGTTTTTTGCCACTAGATTTGGTGGCAAAATATCCCGTACTAGTTAAGGACGACAATTTGTTGTGGCTGCTTGAGAATGCAGCCCTGATCGAGTGCGAGTGCAGCGAGTTCCGCTTCATAGGTAGCTGTTCTTTTTTATTATTATACTGACATGTCTAAATAACTTTTTCTATTAAACTGTTTCTCAATAATACTTCTTTAGAGATTAGAATCTTGTAATCTTTCAGTTTTGGTTTGGTTTCGTTGTCTGCCAGTTTTACCGCCCTGTTTATCAATCAAGGAACAAAGCCTCCACGGGGTGTATTTCAGAGTACATGTACATAAATTTACCCACTTATGGCTCTGCTTATTTGGCACTTATTAATCCAGCAGTTTTCTGATGCATTAATGGCATCAGGTACCAGAACTGCTGTTAACAACCGGTAATTAAGGTAGAGAAAAGTTACACGGTAACTCTAAATCTCTACTCGATTGTGTATCTTTTCACTAGTAAAAAAATCATGTTTCACTCATTAAGTCATCTTCCAGCTTCAAAAAAAGACAAGCACTTCTCAAAAGTATGGCAGGATAGCTTACCTCCTCCATCAACATATTTCATCCTCTGTGAACTCAGTTTAAGATGAGAGAGGCAAGAAATTTCTGCAGTTTGGCTCTGCCAGTCCTCTGATGTTAGCACAAGGGAAAACAC